TGTTAGCTCTTAGTCTCATTGATTTAGTTACCTTAGGGTTGCGTTCCCCACGCCCACGCGGTAGACAATGGGCTTAGTCGTATGTGTCAAGGTGTCGCATTTTTTATTGAGGGCGACCAGGACGCAAAGTGGGTTCTTCGGGGGGAAAAAAAATTGGGGGACCGGTCCTTGGCAAAATTGTGGACTACCTACAATTAGCTCTGGTAAAACCGGGACTTTTGGAAAAAATAAGGACCAGTCATCGGATGGAAGTGGACCCCAAAAAAAAGTGGGGGGTGTTGGACCGGTCCTCAGGTAGAAGTGAACCCAAAATAGAAGTGAGGGCATGTGAATCGCAAAAGGGCCCTCAAGTCCCGGCGTTGAGGTCCGTCTTCTCAAAACAAGGGAGTCGGACGCACCGAAATAGTCGTTTTGCAAGAGGCAATTTATACGATTTTTTGTGTTTGGACGAACTCGAAGACAAATTGAAAATTGTCTACCGCGTGGGCAAGGGGAACTCATCCCTAAGGTAGCCAAAGCAATGAGACTAAGAGCGCACGAGAGAGAGAGAGAGAGAGAGAGAGAGAGAGAGAGAGAGAGAGCTGTCTCTTATACACATCTAGATGTGTATAAGAGATCTCTCTCTCTCTGTGGTGCGAGCTCTTAGTCTCATTGATTTGGCTGTCTTAGGGCCCCGCGCCCACGCGGTAGACAATTTGCAGCCCTTAGGCTGCGGTATAGTGGGCTTCCACGTCTGTATCAAGATGTCACATTTTTGGCAACGGGCGACCAAGACGCAAAGTGGTTTCTTAGGGGGCAAAAAAATTGGGGGGACTAGTCCTTGCCAAAATTGCAGACTACCTACAGCTACCTCTGGTAGAACCGAGACTTGTGGAAAAACAAAGGGCCGGTCCTCGGGTGGAAGCGGACCCCAAAAAGAAGTGGGGGGCGTTGGACCAGTCCTCGGGTGGAAGCGGACCCCAAAAAGAAGTGAGGGCATGTGAACTGCAAAAGGGCCCTCAGGCCCAGGCGTTGAGCCCCGCTCCCTCAAAACGGGGAGGTCAGGCACAACGAAACAGGTGTTTTGCAAGAGGCAACTTTTATGATTTTTTATGCTCGGACGAACATGCATAAAAATCCAAAATTTTGAGAATCCATAGATGAGGTCGTGTTCTTTTCGGAAATAATAATAGAACATTTACAAAAAATCATTTAGATTGCGAAATAATCGTCATGCCGATTCGGCACATTTTTTATTTTTGTCACTCAGCCATGCCTGAGCCAGCTAAAAAAATACTCCAAATTTAGTGAGTTTTCACGCTCAGAAGAATGCGTGAAAAAACCTGAAAATTAGAGTACTCATAGATTTTCTTGTGATATTTTCAGGCAAAACGCTCAATAAAAAATAATAAAAAATCATTCCAACTGTGAAATAATCGCGGCCGCAATTCAACCCATACTTCAATTTTGTCATTCAGCATCTCTCTCTCTCTCTCTCTCTCTCTCTCTCTCTCTCTCTCTCTCTCTCTCTCTCTCTCTCTCTCTCTGGTAGGCCCCCTCTTCCCTCTCTCTCT